TGAACGAACTAGACATGTAGGTAGATCATTTAAGATTTCGTGATGGATTCTTTTAGATCATTTTAGATCATTTAAAATTTAGTTGTAGATCATTTTAAATGATGATAGGTTATTTTAGTTCATTTCTACTTTTATTAACACGAGTTTTCAATTATAACGTACAAGTTCTAAATTAATGGGATGAAAAAGATTATTAGAAAGGCCGCTAAACTGCTAATACCAGTCTGTCGTCGATTGAAAGAAATAGCGAGAATTATGTATAAAGCAAAATACATTATATGCCCTCCTTTCGTAAACGACCCTTTTTGAACTAGATAAATCTCGCTATTGACACAGCAATTCTAATGCCTTTTTCATTCCGTGTTTAAATACTATCACCTTTAAGAAACATAGGTCCCGTGATTTGATCTTAAATGAGTAAAGATGTCAATGAGACCGATGTAATTTACGCCTTTTAAAAAGAAAACCCGAGAGGTAGACCAGCAATATATAATTACAGAGCGCAAGAATTGCTATCTCGTATGTTCTCTCTTACTAACATCGAGACTCTACTGACATTTTAATTTCTAAAGGATCATTTTTACATGAGTAGTGTCCCAATAATTTAAAGCAATATTTTAGGAAGCATGTTTTTGTTAATGTCATACTGTCACTGCAAATATATTTGTTATCAATATTAATCATTCTTAGTAGTTAGGTTGGTAGTATTTTAAATAGTGTCAGTCCCTTGTTTAAGCAGACCCTGTCAGGCACCCTAGAAGATTTCTTGACACTTTAATAAATAAAGTTCATCATCAACATTGTTAGATCTGTTACGGGAGGTCTAAGAACTCGATCCATACATTACTGAAAAAAAACTGAGAAATCGGTTTTTAGAGCACCTGTAAAAAAACTGGAGCCCCATAGATATCACTTAAACTGATCGCCATTAGGGTGATCTCATGCAGAGGCAGGGAGAGAACCGGTGTACCAGAGTGATGTCGTCATCGACTATAAGAATACAAGTAGACTGACAGAGCTGGACTAAGTGATCTTGAAGATTTATTGCTGCTCGCAGAGTTTCATTGCAAAGCAAACATCAAACCACGCGTCTCACGCCACGCACCAAGCTTAGTCTTTATTTTTTTGTACAGTTTTTGTTTTCTCTATTTGACAGTAACCGTTTCTTTTGGCACAGTTGCTTGATGATTACTTTGCAAAAAGCATGAAACTCTGAGAATCAATTAATGTTCAAGATCGCATAGTCTCCATCAGTCTACTTGTTTTAAAATCATCTATGCGTTTTCCCCACTCGATATACTTTTCATGACATTATTCTTTAACAATATTGGCTATGTAAGAATAAGGGATTTTATTTCCTTTGATCGTGAAGTTTGATTATCACCAGTACTGAATTGATACCCGCCCATGAACCATGGCTCTCTGACGAGTATTTTGCGTTCACAAACTCTCAACAATAAATCCCATTGGTTTATTAGATGCGGTATATTGAATAGACAGGCGACCCTGAGAAATGTTATGGTTTCTGTTTTGCCAATAAAATAGCGACATAGATGAAAGATATTACCAACATTACCAAACAGCTGTCCACTAGGTTAGATCCAAGCGTGATTAAGCGACGGCGTTTTGAACAACTTAGTTTTTTACGTCTCTGTGGACCGAGACAGTTTTGATGTGCAATATTTCTACAATATACATATCCAACCACCTGCGGGCTTCAGTTGCTCGGACCATTCCTAGGGTCCAGCTTCAACCTCGTTCCAAGACGGTTGAGAAAGCCCTGTGGATGAGGTTGGTCCAGGTTTATTCTCTTGCGGAAGCCAATCACCGCCAGCTTGTCAGGACTTACCGCCCGCCATCGTTCATGCGCATGCCTAACTCTAGCATGATGAAAATATAGAACGACATTCAACTTCGCTATGAAAAAAACCCGCCATACAAATGTATCAATATAGGTTAATTCTTTCTTTAGACAAGGAGATAAGCACGCTCTCGTACCAAGCTGCTTTACCCCGAAAACCTTGGATAAAAATACTACAAATGAATACGCGGAAAGCAAAAAACTGTCAGCGGCAAAACTGAAATTAGTTGTTTATCAGTTTAGGGATATCATAGGCAGCCATCGATTTCTTAGATGGGTTGTTCAACGCAAACCTATGTCTGTAAACCCTTCAGATCTTACTCATGAAGTGTAAGAAACTTTTCGCTGACTCACTGATTGAACACTTGACTCATTTTGTTGATCAAGCAAATTTTCATTTTTACATCTAAAACCCGATCTGGCAGCGCCCTAAAAACTGTTTAAAATAAAGAATTTACTTACCGTGTTTTGCACCAAGGGCTGCTTGTCGATCTTTAGATAACTGCTTCAGTGTGCTGAAGAAAGCTTGCTCACCCTCGCTTCCCAGTTGATGGCCTAAAATTTTCGAGGATCGATGATTAAAAGATAGAGTTACCCTGACAACACTGAGGGCGCTTAAGCAGCAACGACGGCGACGGCTAGAGAAGAGAACGTCCCTTAAAAAGTGAATTCGCGATGCTATAAAC